GCTATACAAATAAAACTGAATTGTGTTTGTACAGATTCAGTGTCTGAATACAGGAACATTTACATGCATCAGCTGCTGCCAGGAACTAGGTGGGTCCAGGAGGGTTCAGGTGGGTCCAGGCGGGTCCAAGTGGGTCCAGGCGGGTCCGGATGGGTCCAGGCGGGTCCGGATGGCTCCAGGTGGGTCCAGGCGGGTCCACCGGCGAGGGTCCAGATTTGAGTTCCCAAGGTTGGAATAGTAGTACACGAAGATAAGCCCTAGTGTCGAGAGATTCCATGGAGGTGCCACACATTAGTGGTCAGTTTATCACAAGATAACCATTGTAACTAATGAGCCTATGAGCTCTATATCGTATAGTCCTATGTACCTGACAGAGAAGTAGTTTGGTCCCTTGGGATTGAAAGGAGGTATGGTGGTCTCGAGCCTTAACTTGTAGATGTCAGAAGTTGTGCACTCAACCAATTGACAGACGAAGTCTGACGATCCATCAATGGATGTACTGAACCGTCTTATATCGGCTCCTATTGATCCTACTCCTCTCAGTGAAATCCCTTCACTACAGTCTGATCGATGACCGATCCTGACTGGAAACCCACAGACCAGAATATGCACGTCACATTATGCAGACAAACTGCAACCACTTTACGGTGGACCAATCTCTACCTATCGAGTAATCACACTCTCGCCTCGATTCCCAAGAGCGATTCCTTGGACGGCTACAAACATTAACTGTTACATAGGAGCCTCCGATCTACACTCAACACGCCATAACTGACATATTGCATAAATAAGCGTACGACTCTACAAAAAGCTGGCACCACACTCTTAGCGAGCACTCCGTCTGGTCCAACACCTTAGCGGAACCACTTCTCTGAATACACTCGCCTGGAATACAACAACCGCATCCCGGACCGCCAGTGGGACCCTGCCTGGAGTACCTTCAACTGAGTAGACCATCCGAGATCCTCACTAGCCTGGAACCCTAATCCGGACCGCGCCTGGACCACCTTACTTGACCCGCCCTGAGGACCCACCCTTGAACACACTCCTGGACTCACACTCTAGTATCCTGCAGCAGACTGAATGCATGTTATACTAACCATATGTCATATCCTCATCTATAAGGGACGTTTCAACATGAGCTGAGAAAATCCTGTACATTACACACTCAATCCCCAACCTATTATTGATTCTATATTAAGGTGCGCCAAATTCACAACTAGTACCATAGATTAGTCTCAATTCCAGAACCACAGCCAGTGTTGGTTACGAATATAAGAGGCAGGAGTACTCAACACACGACCACAACTACCGACTATCATTATTACATCATCATCTATCTACCTATCACACCAGACCTGTAACCACACACAGACCACAACAACCACACCACACACATACACTACACACCACACCGGAGCAAACGACTTGGAGCAACACGACAGCAAATTTACATATTGTATCCCAACCATCACACGTAACTCACACACACATTCGATCTTACACGTAAAACTAACATCACACACCACCCTTGCTTACTCTACCTACTATCGACACTACACACACCACCTACCACCTACCCACCACAACCCCTGCGGACACGTTCAGGCTGTCACCGATCGATGAGTGACCTAATCTGATTATCCCAGCGATTGGACCCTCGGTGCTCTCGGTGGAGGGGCACCGGCTGAGTCGGAAAGATCACACCGCGCACCGACCGGTGAGCTGTCCAGGCGGTGCAGGATTGGCCATGTGATCGCGGGCCTTACCCGCCGCCCCGACCCCTGAAGAGCCCCGCGACCGGCGGGGGAGGAGTAGGCACCGGCACACTGACTGACTCTCCTTTCGTCCCGCCCGAGCTGCAGCCAGG